GTGTAGCTGAGGTGTTTCCCACCTCTAGCTAACGTGTATAATGATGCATGAATGATGTCCCCTTGGTTTGCGTGCCAAATTCTCATTTACACGCCGCGATATGTGTACCACGTTTTAATGATGGAGCTCTGTTAAATTACAGCTAATTCCTCTGTGGTTGAATCATGGTCGCATTCTGTTGAGGAATGCACCGCTCGAATGAATAACGGCGTTTGTTTGTCCCGCAACTTCTCGGTGTCACTGAGCTTTCTAACCTATTCGCACACAACCGGCTGTTAACGAAAACTTTAATCTTGCATCTATGCGTGCGCATATATCGACTTCCAGAGGCTTAGACAGAAGCGATTCAAGCGGAACTTTCAGCAAGTTAGTCGTGTGGTGTGTTTTCTCAGAGGTTCCCTATGGTTGCGCATTAAGTGCCAGTGGTCAAGCCACCGGATAGGGCCGTATTGGTGAATCTACTGGAAGATGGAGCCAGAATGTGAATAAGCAAAAATTACACCAATATCAATTAGTCGCGGTTGTATGCGCTTTCGGTTCTACGGGATCTCGAAGATACGAGTGTGTGTGTGTTGTGTGAAAACAGACTCCAAGAGGAGATATTACCGTATCCTAAAAGCACACTGATCGGGTTGTCGGAAAGGGCTGTTCTGACAGAATCACATAGTTGCTTGTGGCAACTTACACACTCACCTGTTTAAATAACGCAGTCTGTTCCGTTTTCCTGTGTGCGCTTGACTTCGAAGTATGTTTTGCTTTTCTGCACAGTTGCAAGATTCAGCCGCATTCAGTGGCGCCGCTTCGGTTTAGTTATTCTAATGCTGGTTTTCCTTCGAGTTAGACTGGCCTTAATCCTAACATGTAGTCTTACTGGAGTTCTACATAAGTGTTTTAATAACGCAGCGTTCGGCGTAGCATTCCATATGCTTCGCATTCTTCGTCCACCAAGCATTTTTAATGCGATGGAGCTCTCGAGTCAGTCACCGAAGAATTCTGCGAAACTGACTCTTATCCCCAAGTCACCGGGGTCTGTGCAGCAAATGCTGCGTTCTTCCCAGACACCAATGCACAAATCCGCGCATTGTTCCCATTAAACCAATCGGGCCTGTTACCGTTTGTGCGCCTGATGGTCTCCTCGGCAGCAGCTGTCACGTGGTCGCGAATGTGGTACCACAGGTCGCCCATTGTGACTACGCATCCCGCACCACGCCGGCGTGCAGCCATCAATTTCTCCAGAGTATCGAGGGATAACATATTAAATTTTCGCCTCCGGTTCACCGCGGTCACCTATTAGATATCGTTCCGTACGCATATGTATGATTTGGCTCGCACCAATTTGCGGTCAGTGCCATACTCAGCTCCACGGAGTACGCGTGTCATGCGCCCTTCGCGCATGTCATGCTGGAGTTGTACATAAGTGTTTCAACGACGCAACCAAGACAGTTTTATATCGCGAGAAACCGGCTGGTGCGATCGGTGTAAGCATCACTGAACTTACTCAATTTGGATTAGAGGCATGGCGCTAATATATGCTCATCAGCACACGCAATTTGTAGTTGATGGCAATCCCGACTAGAAGTCATATATAAGGAAGCACGCTGTTGGGGAGTCGGGAACTGAGATTATCGTGGTTTAGGAAATTAGACAATCATGGAATATCAATGTCTGTACGGTGCAATAGGGTTTGGATTAGCCATGCCGATCTCCTCGTCTGAAAAACGTTTGCGGAGTGTGAAGGCGGTAAGCAAGATACCGTAGCTCTGCGCATCGTCTGATACCGTGGAATCCAAAGGAGATACGTGCAGCAGAGCTTACAGAGTTGTGGAGAGTGACTGATGCTCGAACACTTCGATTAATTTATGTGGAAGCGCGGTATGCAGGGCATACTTAAAACTTCGCTTAACTGACGATTGCGATACCTCACTACGGAAATGTTCAATACGTTTTCAGGTGAGGTTCATAGAAAAGCAGCATGGAAATGAGGCACGATACGGTCTCCACACACGTCCCAGAAAAAACGTCAATCCTCGATGAAAAAGCGCAATGGAAAACCTGTGGCAATGTGGCTTATTTGTGTCAATCTCTCATCAGTGAATGCAGGCATGAAGCGGAGAGTCGGCGCCCATTACGAATGAAGATTTTCAGCTAAGACATGACCGGTTCTCAGCCCACAACTGCCGGGTGTTTTGTTAGTCTGGTCCGGAGCTAGGAGCGGCTTCACTCTGGTGTTCACGTACAACCAGTACGTTGAATCGCTAACTGTCCAATGGCGCAAATTGCTTTGCCATCAGGCGTGAGATAGGACACATAAGTAAGAAGCGAACGTAGGCCAGACACCACAGCCGCAATGAATGCGTCAGATGCCTCGACCGCATGGCACGACCTAGGGAACGCACGACATCCAGCTGTGAGAAGTGGACGTGAGCCAGACACCACGTACCGCAATGAACGTGTCACGCTTCGATCGATCGGTAGTCGGCCTTCATGCAGGTGAAAACCCAGCAAAAGGGTTTCCTGCGAAGTGTGTCGCTGTGCTAGCAACTGAGAAAAAGAGACTGGTCCTATGTGACGACCGGTCGATGGGCGCCGTATTGCTATCAGCACAAAAGCTGTTATCGCCTCATGACTGGCTTCCAACAAGCCCGTAAGCTTTAATTAGGCTGCGTTCACTGCTAAGAGAATCATACTACAGGGAGCACCTTATAAGGTTACAGTGTTGTTCACTTTACCGTTTCGATGGCGTGTGTGTTACAGCTGGAAATTCATCCTACATGGGTGCATAAAAAAGAATTCTTGACATGACGTGACAATTTGATGTGGTTTCGCAACGTTGTGAGAGTTACCGAATGCTAAGGTGAATGTTACTGCATACCTCTTGCTCAACCGCGTATGCAGTTGGAAGAAGCGCCTGGAATTCGTCCCTTTGTTTCTAAAGTCTGAAAGGGCGTTGGATTTTGTTAACGCGTGAGACAGATTTTCCTCTCCAGGGGGAAGATACGAAACATGTTTGGGCAACGACCAACCCACGGCATTGTAGCACTTCAAGTGTGCAACGTAGCGCGAAGCTCATGGCCTGGACTGGGTTGGCCGGTCGAAAGGCCATTAGACCCTTTTTCTTTTCCAGGAGTGTGTCCAGTAGGTTGTCCTTCAACAGTGCCTATGTCTGAAATTTCTTAGCATACTCATACATGGAAATGTTTCAGAGCAGTGTCATTCCGCAGCTACAGTCGGAAGGGTTATTGATCAATGTTTGGTGGCAGCAGGATGGCGCACCTGCACATTCTGCACAATCGGTTCGTGCCTACCTGAACGAGAAATTCGGTGGATGTTGGATCGCCCGCGGAGGACCGGTAGGTTGGCCTGCGCGATCACTGGATCTGAATCTCATGGATTTTTGCCTATGGGGATACTTGAAGCGCAGAGTTAATAGAACAAAACCCAAAAGCTGGCTGAACTGAAAGAGAACATTGTGAACGAATATAGGCAGATTTTGTTGGAGACATTGAATAAAAGGCTCGCCAAACACCATTCGGCGAATGCTACTCTGTAGCCAAAAGGATGTTGGGCAATGCGTGCATCGAAGTCGTTGATAGTTACATACATTTTACACATTTCATCTAAATATAAGTAACGAAAGGAATAAATGTATATTCTCCATTGCACACGAGAAACGCCATCGAATTCCTGATCAATTTGTACAACAATCAAGTGTCTGCCTGTGAGGGCAATAGTTGCATTCATGACTAAATTGTTGTGCGCTCTAATGGGTCCACCATTGCGTCGAAACAGATTGAAATCTAAGCGCATTGCCACGTCAACACAAGTCAAAAAACCGTTTTTATGCATCCATGAAGGATGAATTTCCAGCTGTAACACACACGCCATCGAAACGGTAAAGTGAACAACACTGTAACCTTATAAGGTGCTCCCTGTAGTATGATTCTCTTAGCAGTGAACGCAGCCTAATTAAAGTTTACGGGCTTGTTGGAAGCCAGTCATGAGGCGATAACAGCTTTTGTGCTGATAGCAATACGGCGCCCATCGACCGGTCGTCACATAGGATCAGTCTCTTTTTCTCGGTTGCTAGCACAGCGACACACTTCGCAGGAAACCCTTTTGCTGGGTTTTCACCTGCATGAAGGCCAACTACCGATCGACCGAAGCGTGACACGTTCATTGCGGTACGTGGTGTCTGGCTTACGTCCCCTTCTCACAGCTGGATGGCGTGCGTTCCCTAGGTCTTGCCATGAGGTCGAGGCATCTGACGCATTCATTGCGGCTGTGGTGTCTGGCCAACGTTCACTTCTCACAGCCGAACATCTCGGTGTGCTTTGCGATTGTAGGCACACATGTGGCGTCTGTGTCCCATCTCACCCCTGACGGCAAAGCAATTTGCGCCATTGGACAGTTAGCAATTCAACGTACCGGTTGTACGTGAGCACCAGAATGAAGCCGCTTCTAGCTCCGGACCAGATTAACAAAACACCCGGTACAGCAAACGCTACCCACCATTCAAGCATTCAGTTGATCCCGAAATGGCCATCTAACTGAGCTTCTGAGAAGCTCAGATGATCTAGTTTCGCATTCATGTCCCCTGTAAGTAGAACGAAATCCGAAATGACAACAGTGGAAAGCAACGGGTTGAGTTTGTGATAAGAAGTGTTGGTGGTAGCTTCATGACTGAAGTCGTTGGGGACATAAGCGTCAATAATGTATGGACAGAGTTCAGCGTCGCTTCCTGCGCTTATCTTGGTTGATATTGTCAAACAGACTTCACAAGTGACGGGTGCTTACGGGAATCGAAGGGACCAACAATGACTCAGTCTTAAGGTAAGAACAATACTCGACCTGTGGTTGCTGCATCAGCGTTGCCAAATGCCTTTGACCAACGGTTCATTTCATAAGTTTAACATCACTGTTACTGATCCAATTTCCGGACACGCAGCACACATCGACACTGAGTGTGCCTAATGTGTATGCAAGTGCGGTCCAATGACTTACCTGCATTAAGGTATCCAAGTGCAAAAATCGCCAGTAGAACAAGGTAGTGTGGCCTGATAAGGGTTTGACTAAGACGAGTCTACAGTATGCTGAAGATGGTAGAACTTTAATGATTCCAAAGTTGGTGTCAATTAGTCTGCGGATTGCATCAGGAACACTAGGAATAGAGGAAAGGAGGGGATAAGGGAAACAGACTAAAAAGGGGGCAAAAGCAGTGGTAGAGTTTCATTCATCCATGCTGCTGTATGCAGAAAAAACGCAACCCATTGGAAATTTGCGCGACGGCCGATGCGGGACGTGAGTGTGAGTCCATGATCAAGTCATTCGTTTAAGGCTGTACATGTGTCGAGATAATGTCAGGGTGTCCAAGCCTAGATAAGATAAGGAGAAAGGCAGTGTGTGAATAGCTGCTTCTAAAACGCCTTTGTCTAAAGGCGTTGACTTCTGATATCCATAGAACAGAATCACCTTAGCCAGAACCACATAGAAACAGGCATATCCGCGATTGTGAACGCACCAAGTATCATGAATCCAGTGGAATGTTTGTCTTTAGCAATACAAAAATTCCCACTTAATAAGATGAATCAGTGCTGAGTGAAGAATTCAGTTCGGTAAGTCTCGTCAGACTCAGACATTAACACGGTGCGGGTAACATGGTAAATTTGCTGATTGGGCTAAATATTAATCAGGATGTTAAATTGATCGACGAAAAAGATGAACCACGATGCTATTGAAGGTGGCAGATTAAGTGCACATAAAGGTAGTTATGCAGATTATTTGCACGATCGATCAACGTTTATAGGGATAAAAAGCAAATCGGATGATCATGGACCGAGATGTGGGACATGGTAAAAGTAACTAGCGTACCAATCGTTTCTGTACGCACAGCACCAGTATGAGGTGGTAAATATAGTCTCAGCAGTAGATAAGAGATGTCTACGGAATCTGTGAGAGAATCTCTCCCGAATGGAATAAATAACACCGAAATCCTTTTCAGGGTCTGCGCGACGGTACTGGAGGAGGTACGACATGATGAAGCTATTGGAAGACCCCCTTTCGCCTCTGTAAAACCACTGCGGAATGTGCTCGCGAATCCTATGAGATAGGCGTCTCGTAGTATGACCTAAGTACCGTGCACTACTTGGAGCACGAGTATTGATAAACGAGCATCGACCGAGTAAAAGTAAGCAGTCCATCTTTCAAAGATTTTGCGAGCAAAGGCTTGCTATGGCATATTATGCGCAGTCCAGTCACGAAATAAGTCCTCTTAACAGCGTCTTTCAAGCGTTTGGTAGGGCTTCAGCCGCAATGTCACCTTTGTATGGTAAATGCACAAAAAGTTCCTTCTTGGGTAAGCTCCTCCTCTGCGGCCTTCTAGTACGTTAGTAAGAGGTTTGAGGATGTATTTTTCGGGAGACCCGTGTGAACTTAGGGCGTCGCTCATCCTCTGCAGTTCCTAGGTAACGGCGTCTGGTGTGCAAATACTGCGCACCCGAAAGGTGAGTGCGGACTAAATTCCGTTTGGACTGTAGGGGAGCTGCATCGTAAAAGTTGTTATACTGCCCAGTTCAAGTGTGTTTTCGATATACTATTCTGCTGCACTATCCATCGGAATTTCTGATAATAATTACGTCCAGAAATGGTAGTCGTTCTCCGGACTCTTGCTGACAGATGAAATGCAGATTCGGATGTGTCAGAAAAGTATTTCAAAAGCTTCATACCTGTGTCTTCGAACTGTAAAGTATACTGGTGTCGTCCACATAGGGTACATACATTGCAACTTCGTTGATGTTAGTGAGCTATGCTCCAATTTCCCCATATAGACATCTGCTAGCATGGGTCTCAACGGTGGCCGCATGGTAACTCCATCAAGCTGACAATATACATTCCCATTGAAGATAAACTGCACATTCAGGGCGCACCTATATAATAATTACTTCAGAAAAGTTTCCGTGAGATTTAATGGTATGTCCAGTTGTTGTACTAGTTCACAAATGTAAGCTAATGTTTCCAACAACGGAATATTCCTAAACAATGATTGGGTCTCGAAGGGTGACATAAAATTGTTGGTAAGGTTCACGTCCTTTATCTTCTCAATGAACTCAGAAGTATCCTTCATGCAGTAAGTGCAAAATTCTTTCCGCAGCGGTTCCAACTTCTCAACCATCCACTGAGCTAGTAAATGTTGGGGAGAATTAACAATGTCCAAGATCGGACGCAATGGGGCGTCCTCTTTGTGAAGTTTGGGGATACCGTACAACAGCGGAAGATGTCCACATAAAGGTCTCGACTTTGCGAAACCGCATTTTGTGATAACATTTGCTTGCATCCTAAGTCTGAGCAAGCCTGTTAATTGCCTTCCCAACTCTTCTGTATTCTTTCACTCCTGGTAGCATTTGGAACACGTTCATCACCAAGAATATTTTGTATCTTATTGAAGTAATCCGAACTACTCCAGAAACTTTATCTGGCTTAGAGATGATTAAGTTTGTTTAGCCAGAACTCGCTAAGTGACTGCGCTCTTTGACGAATGACCAATTCAAATGCCGCATATTTATCGGAGCTTATAGTTACAGGAAGATGCCGTAGCTGAATTCAGACCCAAACACAGCGTTGTAGTTTCTTGCGGCCGAGTTCAAGCGGTTTCTGAGTCTGAAACATGACGCTGCCATGGTCGAAAAGGACAGCCGCGAAATGCTCATATTGTGACTAATTCTAAGCGAAATATGCCTCACGAGTCCATACAGGAGTCGCAGAACGGACCGCTTAATGCCGGTATGCCGTGCGGTGAGCGACGTTATGCCGAAATCTATCGATTCAAGAAGCACATCTAAAAGAAAGCGGGAAACACGGTCATGAAGAAGAATTTTGTAAGTAATCTCGACCGGTGAACGTCAAAAGGTTTGTTAGAAAAAAGCAGTTGCAGACTATATGTCGCGCATCGATGCCTTCCAGATTGGGTTCAAAGCCACAGACAATTCGTCGCCGTACTTATCAAAGGGATTCCTTCCGAGCTGCAGTTTGGCACCGCCTCTGGTATAATCACGATTTACAAAAGCCCAGGGAGCCACAGAAAGAGGCTGGAGATTGTTGCTGTTGATAGCAAATCTATAATCAACAGTCTAAGGACTAGGCAAAGTGGCTCATAACGCGTCAGCTGAAGTACTGAATCTGTTCGGAGAAATTACCTATAAAATCGCATTAACTAGAGTGGAAATAACTGAAACAAGCTCCTGACGGACCGACCGAAGCTTAGCTTTCTCGGAATCGACTGGATAGAAAGGCTAGGACTCCTTGATATCTTGCTGAGCCAGACCTGTAATCAAATTCCGGCAAATCCAGAACTCCATCACAGTATGTCAAATTCACGACACGGCTGCTAGAGCGAAAAATGGACTGTGTTTCATGAATGTCAATGGTATATTGCGGATAAAATAACCGAAGCTTAACACGTCTCACAGGATAGTGAAGAAGAGCTTTCAAAAGAAAAGGGAAAACAACTCTAAACGACGAAACCGGAAACAGGGAGCAAAATTGGTCAGTCTGAATCGTTCACACATGGTTAACAGCAACGTAAAGTCACTGCTTCTGGTTTTCCCTGAAAACACGGGTTTGGGTTGATGCAGTTTATTTTGTGTGTGTGTGGGGGGGGGGGTGTATGGTTTATGCGTTAGATGAGGTTGTGTAATGCGGTCAGCCCACTGTCGAGATAATCTTTGAATACAGATAATGTAGTGTCTGAAATAACGGCTTTGAAGAAAGAATTCCAAACATGGCAAACAAGCAGTGAGAAAAAAGTCCGCTCACACTCCAGCTGGCTGCATTGTTCTGTCATTATGAGACTTCTCAATCTGTTGTTATGGCGGAGCTTTAGCAGCTGATAGCACGATTGATTAAAGTTGCTTAGAATCTGGTAGAGCATGATAAGGCCACCGCGCAGTCCACTGAAAACTTCCGAAATACTCATGCGCTGTACGTAAGGTGAATGGTATGGCCCTTTAGTGATTTGGTGGCCCGACGTTGTGGAATCTCGGAGACAGCGTGATCCAGCTTCTGCCCTATCTGCCATGCTTAAATTGCATATTCCACGTGGGGGTGTATGCATGCAGAAAGCAGCTGGGAAAAAGTAGATGGGTCGAAGTGACCTGAAGCTCTATCATAGAGCTTTCTGATGCTAGTGCAGATTGCTCCGAGCAACCAAAATCCATCTGGATCAGCATACTGAGATCTTTTTCATGAGCACGATGCTAGAAATCCTGATCGCGCAGCTTATAAGTGTGAAGCATTTAGTGCTGTAGATTGAGTACTTAATATCCGATTGCGATGAACTGGAAAGGATGGTGGACTAACCATTAATGAATCACATCCGGGTCGTTTTGAAGCTTTATGTGGTTGTCTGGCACATTGAACTACCGCCAAGCTATTATCCTGTCGGCGTAAAGCAAGCAGTGTAAAGTGATTAGGCTCAGTAGGTTATTAGTAAAAATCAAGAACAGACGGAACCACTATCCGGGAATCAGATAAAAACATAAAAGAAAAAAGGGAAAGTATATAATGGTGACTGAAAGCTGGGCTAAAGAGAATCGCCTACCCCGTGCGGTCGATCAGGCAATCGATCGAGCGGACGAATGCGTTTTCAAACACCCGGCTAATTGGACTTTTGCCTCAGAGTTGAGAGGACAGTGTTTTCGGCGGCATTTTCTGGCTACGTTGGCAGAGTTTTTGTTAACACGTTTTTCGTGGTCAAGGCTGTTGGAATTTTGATTTTTCTTCGGCTGGGCTAGAATTGCTGCGGAGAAATTCCTGGGTGGTTAATTCGGAATAGCGAAAAGGGGAAGATCTAACAATGGCGACGGACAAGCACGGAAATGTTACAAATTTTTCTGCCGAACATTTTCAAAAGCTGCTTCTTCAGCAACAATCCCAGATGGAAGCACAAATGAAACTGATTGAAAGTTTAACGCAGTGCTTAAACGTACAATCAAACGGAGCAGCTACACGGGACACGCAGGCTGTTTCACTTGATCTTCTTACGAATTCAATCACTGAATTTCATTATGATGCTGATTCCGAATCCACTTTCGAGGCGTGGTTCAAACGTTGGGAGGATATGTTCCAGACGGATTTCAGCCGTCAAGATGATTCATGGAAAGTGCGCCTTTTGCTCCGCAAGCTGGGAACTAATGAACATACAAGATTCCTTGACCACATATTGCCCAAAGAGCCGAAGGACATCACTTTCAACGAAGCAGTGGCAACACTCAAAGAAATTTTTGGTGAGTCAACATCATTGTTTAGCATTCGCTATCAATGTCTAAAAATTGTAAAGCGTGATACAGACGATTATGGGGCACTAGCAGACATGGTTAACCGCGAATGTGAACGTTTCAAATTACGCTGTTTGACGGATGACCAGTTTAAGTGTCTTATATTTGTCAGTGCTTTACAGTCTCCACGCGACGCGGAAATCCGCACTCGGCTCCTTGCTAATTTGGATCAAGATCCAGATTTGACATTGAAGTCTCTTGTAGGCGAATGCAAACGGTTAATTACCTTGAAACACGACACGGCTATGATTGAGCAGAGTCGCCCCACCATTGCCGATACTGTTCATGCTGTGCAAAAAGCAAGAAAATCTGGCTCGAATAAGTCGTTCAACAGAAAGCCGAACAAGCCGCCTACACCTTGTTGGTCATGTGGTGAATGGCATTTCGCACGATACTGTCCATTCAAGCGTCATATTTGTGATAAGTGCCATAAACGCGGCCACAAGGAAGACTTTTGCCATCAGTCCCGGCCAAGAAATGTGAAGCAGTCCTACCGAAGGAAGAATTTCAGAAAACCTGACGCAGAATCACTATCGGTGATTGCTACGTTTCACAGCCATTCTAGAACACGCCGCCGATTTATCACTGTGCTTATCAACGGAATCCCAACCCGGCTGCAGTTCGATACGGCATCAGATATAACGATCATTTCCAAGAACACTTGGAAGCACATAAAGAAGCCGAAAATGATTGATTCCAACAAAATCGCTCACAATGCATCCGGTGGAGTGCTGAAGTTGGTCGGAGAAATAAATTGCAAAATTGCATTCAACGGAGTGGAAAAGGCCGGAACCTGCTACTTGTCTGATCGACCAAACTTGAACCTCCTTGGACTTGACTGGATGGAAAAATTACAACTGTTTGATGCTCCAATGAGTCAGATTTGCAATACAGTACAAACCGACCCAGTACATTCATCATTGTCGATAGAAGAGATGACCAGAAAGCTAAAGCAGCAGTTTGTCACCTTGTTTGAAGATGGTCTCGGCCACTGCACTAAGTTCAAAGCAAAGTTGTGTCTTCGTGAAGGAACCAAGCCAGTCTTTAGAGCAAAAAGACCGGTACCGTATGCAGCCATGACAGCAGTTGATCAGGAGCTCGACCGACTGGAACGAGCCGGTGTCATCACACCAGTGAACTACTCTTCATGGGCTACGCCGATTGTTGCTGTGAAAAAGCCGAACGGTAAAGTGCGAGTCTGCGCCGATTTTTCGACCGGCTTGAATGCCGCATTGGACGACCATCAATACCCCCTTCCGATACCAGAAGATATCTTTGCCAAGCTAAATGGTGGGAAGTGTTTCGCCAAGCTCGACTTGTCCGATGCCTACCTCCAGGTTGAGGTTGATGAAAGCTCAAGAGAATTGCTGACCATCAACACTCATCGTGGCTTGTACCAATACAACCGCCTCCCTTTTGGCGTGAAAACAGCACCAGCCATCTTCCAGCAGCTGATGGACACCATGCTCGCGGGAGTTTCTGGAGCCGCGGCGTACCTGGATGATATCATTTTAATGGGTCGGACGGCAGAAGAACTATTTCAGCGGCTCGCTGAAGTGCTTGTACGTATCCAGTCATATGGTTTCCGTATCCGCGAAGATAAGTGTACCTTTTTTACACCAACCATCAAGTTTCTCGGTTTCATCTTCTCAAAAGACGGTCGTCGCCCTGATCCAGAAAATATCCGAGCTATTCAAAAGATGCCCCCACCTGTGGACTTGCAGTCGCTGCGTTCATTCTGTGGCCTAATCAGTCATTACAGCGCTTTTCTGCCCGAACTACATCGCCTGCGTGCCCCATTGAATAAGTTGTTGAGCAAGGGCCAAACCTGGAATTGGACGCCAGAATGCCAGACTGTGTTTGAGCGGGTCAAGTCATTGTTGGCTTCAGACTTACTCCTAACTCATTTTGATCCTTCCCGGGAAATTGTCCTTGCCACAGACGCATCGAGTCTAGGAATCGGTGCCGTAGTTTCCCATACGTTCCCAGATGGATCTCAGAAGGCGATCGCACATGCCGCCAGGACGCTAACGAAAGCTGAAAGAAACTACAGTCAGATCGAGAAGGAGGCATTGGCCATAGTGTTTGCTGTGAAGAAATTTCACAAAATGCTGTATGGTCGCCGCTTCAAACTCTTGACGGATCACAAGCCGCTGCTGGCCATTTTCGGCTCGAAGAAGGGAATTCCTGCCTATACAGCCAATCGACTCCAACGATGGGCACTTACATTGCTGGGCTATGATTTTGAAATCCGTTATCAGTCAACGAATTCGCTGGGCCAAGCAGATGCGTTGTCACGCCTCATTGATTCCCAGCAACAAGAACACGAGGACACCATCATTGCCTCAGTTGAAATCGAACCTGATGTCAAATTCCTGGTGAACGAGGCACTACATGGTATGCCAGTTACGGCCGATGCTGTGCGGGCCGAAACGCTTCGAGACCCAATCCTGAAGAAGGTGACACACTTCCACAGAACCAGCTGGCCACGTTCGTGTTCATCTGCCGAAATGCAGCAGTTCTATCAGCGAAGACATTCGCTTTCCATTGTGGACGATTGCATCATGTTCTCAGACAGAGTAGTCATCCCGCAGGCGTTGCAACAAAGAGTGCTGCGACAGTTCCATGCAGGACATCCAGGGCTCAACCGAATGAAAGCGCTTGCCAGAAGTTATGTATATTGGCCGTTTATGGACAGGCAGCTAGAGCAGCTAGCTAAAAGTTGTGGCAACTGCGCTACCGCCTCAAGGGCACCGCCAAAGACTGAACTCCGCTCATGGCCTAAACCAACTAAACCTTGGAGTCGTGTTCATGTAGACTTTGCAGGCCCAATCAATGGCCAGAACTTTCTCATAGTGGTCGACGCTTATAGCAAGTGGCCCGAAGTGTTCCTCATGAGAAGCACGAAAACCAGCGCAACCGTCTCTAGGTTGCGACAAATCTTCAGCAGGTTCGGCTGCCCTGAAACATTGGTGACGGACAATGGAGCACAGTTTACTTCGGCCACATTCATGGAATTCTGCCAACGCTGCGCCATCAAACACTTGCGGTCTCCACCATTCCACCCACAATCGAATGGCCAAGCAGAGAGGTTTGTGGATACATTCAAACGCGCTCTCCTCAAATCAAGGAGGGAGGGAGACCTAGAGGAGGTGATCGACCGCTTCCTATTTCTGTACCGATCTACACAAAATCCACAAACGCCGGGTGGAATATCACCAGCAGAGGCAATGATGAAGAGAAAACTTCGCATGCCATATGATGCAGTTCGGCCATCCTCAGAGTCCATAGCTGGTGAAAGGAACCTAAAGATGGAACGTGATTTTAATCGGCGGTTTGGTGCCAAGCAACGTTCGTTTACACCGGGTCAGCCAGTACTTGTGCGTGATTATCGGGGTGGACACGCAAAATGGACGCCAGGAACGATCCAGTGCAAGCGCGGAAGCGTCATTTACGACGTGCTGGTTGGAACGCAGGTATGGGTACGCCATGCAAACCAACTGCGAACAACAATGTGCCAGCCACAAGCAATAGAATCCGCCAAGCTTCCATTTGACCTGTTGACAGACAGCTTCAACTTGCCTACAGAGCCAGTAGAAGAACCCTGTCATCAGACGAATAATACCAGACCGCAGAGTACGGAATTCGAATCCAGAACACTACAGCCAAGGCGATGCACCGGTAGGCGAAGAATCCCTTCCAGGAGGCTCCAGGTTAATCCCCGGCTAGCTTCATACACAACGGCAACAGCTTCAGGAGGGGAGGTATCCGGGAATCAGATAAAAACATAAAAGAAAAAAGGGAAAGTATATAATGGTGACTGAAAGCTGGGCTAAAGAGAATCGCCTACCCCGTGCGGTCGATCAGGCAATCGATCGAGCGGACGAATGCGTTTTCAAACACCCGGCTAATTGGACTTTTGCCTCAGAGTTGAGAGGACAGTGTTTTCGGCGGCATTTTCTGGCTACGTTGGCAGAGTTTTTGTTAACACGTTTTTCGTGGTCAAGGCTGTTGGAATTTTGATTTTTCTTCGGCTGGGCTAGAATTGCTGCGGAGAAATTCCTGGGTGGTTAATTCGGAATAGCGAAAAGGGGAAGATCTAACAACCACAATAACGAACATCGTGACAAATAGCACTTCACTTGGAAAGGATTTGATAGAGAACCGCGTACTTCCACTTCCAGACGCATGTGCCTGATCTCGGTCATCGCACGAAATTCAAGGTAACGCTGTGTCTGCGCTCAGGATCCAAGCCATTACTTAAGGTCAAAAGACCCGCACCGTATGCGGCTATGCTGACAGTTGCTCGAGAATGCGACTGAGCATAACAATTGCGAACTAACTCTTATGGGATGCACGCACTGTCGCTGTAAGGGAAGCTAATGTGAAGGTACGCGTCTGTGCAGATTTTCCAACTGACCAGAACGTCGCGCAATAAAAACAAATGCCGAAAGATATTTTCCAGAAATTGGATAGCGATAAACGCTTTGTCAAGCATAATATGTGCAATGCCTACCTTCAGGTGGGTGCTGTCGAACATTCGAGAGAACTGCTGTTGGTCGACACATCTCGTAGGCTGTGCTATTACAACCGCTTGCCTTTTGGTGTGAAAACGGCACCAGCAATTTTTTAACAGTTTGTGCTTGCGGAGAACTCTGGAGTCATCGCATAACTGGAAGATGTTATCGTAATGGGCCGAATGACAGAAGAGCTGTTTAACCAGTTGGATAAGTGCTTAGCTGTATTCAATAGTACGGTTTCCGGATCCGTAAGGACAAATGCACATTTTTCACACCGACCGTCAAATACCTCGGTTTTATGCATAAGATATTCATCGACCAGATGCAGCCGAGATAGAATCCACTAGGAAATGGCTCCACCATCAGCCCGGTAATCATTGTGTTGCTTTTGTGGTCTCAGCAGTCCTTACAGTGCATTCTTGATTGAGATGCACCGTCTGCATGGCCCTCGGAACAAGCCGCTAACTAAATACCACGCCGGGAACTAGACACAAGAGTGCCAAAACCCCATCGAACGAGTCAAGTCACTACTGGCCTCAGATGTGTTACTGACTCTTTTCGATGCAACTCGAGAAATTATGCTCGCAACAGACGCATAAATACATGGGATCGATGCAATTGTCGCACAGAGGTACCCAGACGGATCTTAGAAGCGTACGCTCACACAGCCAGAACGTTGACAAAGAACGAAAGAAACGAAATGAAAACGAAACAGCGCAAGACGCTATTTGGTCTCCGCTTCAAACCGTTACTGGCTATCTTCCGCTCGTAAAGGAGCATCCCTGATGATAGACAACTGTCTCCAACGATGGAAAGTCATTCTGTTGCGTTAAGATTTAGAGACTTGCTATTAATCAACGATTGCGATGGACCAAGCGGACGCACTGTTAAACCTCACTGTCTCTCATCATCAAGAAGTAGAGGACGCGACCATAGACTCAGCCGAGTTTGAGCCTGACGTTAAATTTCTTGTGAGTGACGCATTACATGACCTACCAGTTGCCATGAATGCTATGTGAACAGAGATATGTGACCCACTACTCAGAAGCATCACAGTTCCACAGAACCAGTTGGTCAAGTTCACGTTCACCAGCCGAATCGTAGCAGTAGTATAAGAGACATTTGCTCTTAACTGTGGATGGCTGGATACCATTTTCGGTATTCATTTCGAAAGTCTTATAAGAGTGTGTAGTTCGGTAGTTCAACGCAAGCATTTTGGGATTAACTGGATTAATCCGCTTGGCCGAAGTTATGCGTACTTTTCGTTAATACACATCTGGAAGAACTGGCCAAAGGCTGCAAAAGTTGCGCTAACGTTCTAAAAGCGCCATGTAAAGGGGGGTTTAATTCATGACCAAAATTCACAAAGCCATGATGCCATATTCATGTCGAGTTCGCAAGACCGGTCAACCGTGAAAGCTTTCTCAATGCGGTCAGCTCCTATAAAAAATGATCCGAAGTGTTTCTCATGGAAAGCTGCATAACCAACACGACTATATCAAGAATATTGCAAATCTTCAGTAGGTTCGGTTGTCCAGAAACACTTGTAGCCGTCAAGGGCACGCAGTTTACGTCGGCAACTTTCACGGAGTACTGCAAACGATGCAGCGTCGTGCAAAAATTTGTTAATCACCGGTTCAAATACAATCAAATGGTCAGGTAGAGGTAGAGGTCCGTGAACACGTTTAAGCAAACTCTGCATGAACCAAAAGGGGGACGTATAGAGGAAGTTACCGACAGATTCCTTTTCCCTGTGTTGGTCCACACCAAAGCTGTATACACTGGAGTGTCTCCAGCAGAAGATTTATTAAAAAGGCCTCGCGTGTCATTTGATGCCTTTCCGTTGGCTTCTGAGTCTTCATACGGGGAAGAAAATCGAAAAATGGAGTGACAATTCAATCGGCCGCAAGGATCAAAGCAACGCTCACTTAAGACCGCACGCAAGTACCGTAAGTCACGAAATATGGAGTTCAGGTAAGACCAAAAACAAACGTGGGGATGTCATCTATAATGTTCTAATCAGATCGCAAACTTAGGTCCGCTACGCAAATCAGATGCGCCTATCGCCATGCGAGCCAGAAACGAGAAAATTAGTTGAGCTGCCATTTGGTCCGTTCATTGAGTTAGTTCAACTTATCGAAAACCAAAGGAGAGTTGCTGTCCTCCAAACAATGCAGCCGAGAGTTCAGAGCCAATTCCGAAGGCATTTCAACCCAGGCAATAGACCAACGGACGGATAACACCGTCTTCAAAACTCCAAGTCAACGCACGGCTATCATTCTAAGCCGCAGCTACTATCTCCAGAGAGAGGAGAACTCTAGGAGGAAGTAAATCCACTCGAGAAAACGGAATATTTCAATGGGAAAACGATCTGAGTAAATGTGGTACAACAGCAGCAGAAAGTCGTTGTAGAAACATTCATGTCCATCATGTGACACGCGAGCCTACCTTCTCAATTGCCATCGGAATTGAACTGCATATAGTGGCAGCGCGTACGCGCGGGCCTTACCACGACCGCACTTCATAGCTTGTGATTGGATGCCCGTCCGTTCGCGATCAATACCAAGGTTGTTTCGAATGTACTGAGTGTATGTACCGTTGGCGTGAATAGAAGTTTGTGTTGCGTACCAGTAGAGTTCTGCTTCCTCATTCGGGGCTTTGGTCGTGCTTGTTCAAGACCCTGCGTGTAGGGGACTAGTGTACGTGTAGACACAACAGTGGCGTCTGGGCTGTGGACCATTACAATGGCATTTCACCTTCTACCTCCAGAAGCCTTTTGGTGCGATCCTGCTACTAGACCTACGGAGAGTGATTGGATCCAATGGAGTACGTCTTTCACGAATTACTTAGACCTACTCCCAGCAACTACTACTTACGATGAGAAGCATAAACTGAAACTACTTCATCACCTGTTGGAAAATGAAGGTCAACGTTATTTCGATGCGTTAGATCCGCAGAAATTCGATACACTTACAAAGGCATTGGATGTACTCGATCAGTCATGGGGTGCACGGCCAAACATTTTCGCTGAACGCTACAAGTTCTGCTGTTTGAGGCAAGAAGATGCAGAGCCACTGGAACAATTTGTCGCTCGTTTAATTCGGTCTGTAAAAACCTGTGACTACACTAGCATCCCGAAGAATAAACTTGAGAGTGTTATGCTGACGCAGCAGTTGATAACCGATATAAAGGATAATCGTATACGCGAAAAGCTACTTTCCGAAGATCCTTCAAAACTTACCTGGGAGAGAGCCATAGAGATGGCAAGACTAATAAAAGCCGCCGTTGAACATTCGAGCCTATTCAAGTCGAGTGATATACTAGAAGTCAGTAAGATTCAGCACAAGGGTTCCAGTCAACCTCAGAATTCGACTGTTTCGTGCTATAGATGTGGGAGTTCTCGCCACAAAGCTGACTGTCAAACATGTACGGCTCGTACAGCTGAGTGTAAAAGCTGTGGTAAACTGGGCCACTTCGCCAGATGCTGCCGCTCGCGTCGAGTCGCGTTAATAGACCAACAAAATGATGTTTCCACCTCACCGACTACACCGAATGTTTTCTCTATCAGAAGACGATTACAACCAGAAACACGACGAATTGCTTCGCTGGAACCCAAGCTCCCTGCTCCTGACATACGTACCGTTACACTCCATGGGCTTAACACTTCTGTACCAGTGACTATGGAGCTAGACTCGGCATCGCCGATAACAATTATCCCGTCCAGCATTTACGACAATTACCTGAAAGACATTCCATTACATCCTACGTCGTATAAATTCGAATCGTACACAAATTCACGTGTGCAAATTCGGGGATATATAATGACGAAACTCAGTTTACTCTCAGTCGCATCTGATGTTGCTGTGTATGTTGCCTCCGAAGACAGTCCAGCCTTTCTGAGGCGAAATGCTATGGTTGCCCTCAACATAACACCATCTATCGAGCGAATGCGCATCATGACACTCAAAACATCAGTACTTAAAAGCTTATATCCCAAATTATTTACTAAGTCGATTGGCCGGATTCCATCTGCTGCTCATCGAATATGCCTTAAAAAGGACGCTAAACCGTTTTCGATTTCGCAGCCACGTCCTATTCCATTGGCCAAACGTACGATGGCAGAAAAGGCCATACAAGAGATGATTTCCAACGATTTGATACAGTCAGTTAACTGTTCCGAATGGGTGCATCCCATGGTCACGGTGTTAAAGAAGGACGATACTATGCGCATATGCAACGACTTGAAAGTGTTGAAAACTAAGATCGTCGTCGAAAAATTCGTTCTTCCCACAGTTGACGAGTTGTTGGTCAAGATAACTGGCGCGCGATTTTTCTCAGAACTAGACCTGAGGAAGGCCTTTTTCCACATGCCATTGACACCAGAATCCAGACCACTTATGGCTTTTCTGACATCGAGTGGTTTATTCGAGTACAAAGTCTTGCCGATGGGACTTAGCTCCGCTCCAGCAGCTTGGCAGAAGTTTATGAATCACTCACTAGCAGATCTACCGAAACAAATCACTTACATGGATGATATATGCGTTTTCGGGAAATCAAGAGATGAGCACGACTCAAGGCTGCGCGCTGTGTTGTAGCGATTGGAGAGCCTAGATCTTCGGCTAAACCTGGAAAAGTGTATATTTTGTGCTACGGATGTCGAGTTTCTTGGGTACGTCTTATCAGCTGGTGGAATTAGGCCATGCGCAGCTAATACTCGAGCTATCACGGAAGCCCTTGTACCGAAGAATACATCAGAGGTTAAGCACTTTCTTGGTTTATGCTCGTACAACTTGCGCTATTTGCCCGATTTTGCAACTATAGCGGAGCCATTGAGAATGCTGACAAAAGAAAAAGCTGCGTTCGATTGGGGCTCTTCGCAGCAGTCGGCCTTTGAAGAAATTAAAAGACGCCTCGTCTCCACCCCAATGCTGGCCATTTTCGACGAAAACTGCCCAACATTCGTCTCAACGGATGCGTCAAACATCGGTTTAGGAGCGGTCTTGTCTCAAATCCAGAACAGTGAGGAAAAAGTGATTGCATATGCCTCTAAAAAGTTATCCCCTACTGAAGTTTCATATTCCGCAGGTGAAAGGGAGGCCCTTGCCTGTGTATGGGCCAGTGAAAAATGGCACCTGTTTCTGTTTGGTCGGAGATTTACATTGCGCACGGATCGTGCTGCTCTAACTACCCTCCTCAGCCGAGGAACCAATGGTCACAGGCCACTACGGATTAACCGCTGGTATGCGCGGTTACTGAACTATGATTTTCAAATCATCTTCCGCCTTAGCTCTGAGAACCGTATGGCAGATAGCTTATCACGTCTCCCATTGGATGATTCCGACAAGAATGAAGACGACGAAGAAAAAGTCATGATTTCTGCTTTACAATCAAGTGAGCTCTCCGCGGTTACTAAACAAGAGCTTCAAGAAGCTAACCGGAGTGATTCAGTTGTGCAAGATGTCATTCACTATCTCTCTCAAGGCTGGCCTCGCTACGCGAAGTTGAGTGGTGAACTACGGGCGTTTTATGTTTTACGACATGAGCTAGCGGTCGTTGATGATTGTCTTATGCGAGGATCGCGATTCGCAGCTCCACAGAAACTGACATCAAAAATTATCCAATGTGCACATGAGGGACATCCAGGTATCGTACGGACGAAGCGCCGACTTCAAGAATACTTTTGGTGGCCAAAAATGAATAAAATGGCAGAGGCGTGTGTCCGGTCTTGCGATGCATGTCAGAAGACCGACAAGAGCTCCAAACCAATCGATGCCCCCATCCAACCTGTTACTTATCCAACGAAACCTTGGTCGAAGGTGGCGATTGACATCATGGGACCGTTTCATTCTGCGCCACAGCACCAGAGGAACTGCTTAGTTGCCACGTGCTATTACAGTAAGTGGCCGGAAATCCATTTGTGTGGCGATGTGACCACCTCAACCGTTATACGGTGGCTGAAACATCTGTTTGCTAGATTTGGGTTTCCTGAGGAAATTGTGACAGACAACGGACCACAATTCACGAACTATGAGTTTAAACGTTTCTTACAACTTCGTGATGTGAAGCACGTACATACTGTCCCGTACAACCCAGCTGCCAACGGCATGGTTGAGCGCACTAATCGCACGCTAAAGGAAACTATATAGACAGCACGTTTGTCCGGCAGGCAGTGGGAAGATGCAGTTTTGGAGGCTCTGTTTACTCACCGAACATCGCACCACAGAGTGACTGACCGCACGCCAGGTGAGCTGATGTTTGGCAGGAAGTTGCGTACGAAATTAAACGCAGCTATTTCGGCTGCAGAAAACAACGACCCCCACCAACTGGAACGTCACCGGGGTTATCAGTCATCCTACGAAAAACGGGCCACATCGCTGCGTCCTGGAACGTTGGTCAGGATAAAGGAGAGGCAAACACGGAAAGGAGAATCGGCACTGACGAGACCCATCAGAATTACTCGTGCGCTAGGGTCAGGAACTTATGAGTTAGCAGACGGCCGACGAGTCAACGCCAGACAGCTATATTCAGCACTTCAACCGAAGCAGTGACCTGAAGCGAGGGCCACCGCAGTGAACCAACCGCTGAAGAGGGGGAGTAATGTGGCAGCGCGTACGCGCGGGCCTTACCACGACCGCACTTCGTAGCTTGTGATTGGATGCCCGTCCGTTCGCGATCAATACCAAGGTTGTTTTGAATGTACTGAGTGTATGTACCGTTGGCGTGAATAGAAGTTTGTGTTGCGTACCAGTAGAGTTCTGCTTCCTCGTTCGTGGCTTTGGTGGTGCTTGTTCAAGACCCTGCGTGTAGGGGACTAGTGTACGTGTAGACACAACGCATATCAAGGCGGCGAATGTGAAACGTGAACATACCTGGATTAAACTATACATATCCACTGATTTTACACTACTTGTACCCGTTTCCTGTAGCCGCTCATCCACATGTTTTGTTTCGAATCGATGAGGTCTGATTTCGCCTGGCGGTTGGAGCATGCGGGGTCAAAAACAATCAGAACCACATATAAAGAGGAACCATATATAAAGAGAGGAACCACATATAAAGAGAGTAGAGTAGTAGAGGAAGAGTAGTTACTTTGGAAGCGCTACATGAGAGAAATGGCAACGACTGTTAAGAGTATGCAAATATACGGGGAAAACGGAGACTAGATTTGGCTGTGCTCGGTCCCTTGCACAAAACACAAAAGGTGCAGTTGACTTCAGTTAAAAGTGGCAAGTGCAAATTGCACAACAGTAATAGATGTGAAAAAGGGGGCCAGGGAGGAGGCAGCCCGACACTGTGACCGACAAAGTACGAATTCACTATTAAGTAAGATTTGTAAAAATGGTAATTGTAATGTTTTCGTCCCAACTACTCGCAAGCTACATAGCAGAGCCTAGTCCGGAAAAGCAGCAAACGCGTTCCGCCCTATTGGGGCTAGTCAGTGGTGCGCATTCCCTCGGTTCCCTACGGGGGATCGAACCCATAACCACCAGAGTCAGACGCCAACTAGTCAGCAGCAAGAGCCACTGAGCCATGGGGGACGTCGGCTGCGCTACACAAGTTCCAAACTAACTGGGATATAGCACGACCTATCATCCACTGCCACGCAGGTTACTACTTTAGCAGATGACAGTCATGACTTCCTCCCACTATACGCTACATCCATGGCATTTGAAACAAGGAGAGACTACGTTTTGTATCATTATATATATATATATATATTATTAGTTTAAAAAAGGCTCCTACTTAATAGCGATATAAAATGAGGTCTCTCCTGGTTTCATATGCTATGGACGTAGCATCTAGTGAGAGGAAATCTTCGGAGGCTAGCCACCGTCATCTGCTAAGATAGTAACCTGCGTGGCAGTGGAAGATAGGTTGTGTTATGTCCCAGTTAGCTTGAAAAGTACAAATTGCCGGTAATCTCCATCACTACCAATATGGCCGAAACAAGAAAGTGTGATGGTTCAAGCCAAGAACTAAAGTGGGTGAGAAACGTGCGAAATCGACAACAGGTAATTTACGTCGAGGATGCACATGCCAGGTCACATGCAAGGATAACTCTGACGAATAGAAGTAGAAAGATGAACTAGTTCAGCGAGTCACGGGTGGCACCGAAATGGAGCCGTGCTCTGAATTTTCCTCTTTCAAGAAATTACTGACACATACACTTCCGATGGCACTTTCAGAAGCCTATTGTTTTGCTCACTTACTGTTTTTTCCACAATCGGTATCATGATAAATTATCCTAGTTCTGTTTTGAAATTCTTTGGTGTTTCAGCGCAAAGCAAGAACGATAATCCATCCATGAGGAATAAAGTAAGAAAAAGCTGATAAAAGGAATCAATTTATAAAAAGTATCGCGCTGGGTGGAGAGTCGCTCATCGAAAGAAAAACTTGAAAATTATGAGCATTTCCACTTTTCTTATCGCCAATGTCCATTTGCTTCGGAAAAAATGTACAGCAGTAAAAACATAATTAACTTTCGTGAAAATGTACAAGTAGGAGACATTAAGCTACAGAAGACATGACCAAAAAAGATGCTGAAAATGCTATTGTGAAAATTGACGGCCTTGAAAATTATAGCAAGAAGGTGACAAGTGGTAGATGCAAACATTTCGTATTATCTCTTTAGTACCAATGACAATAACCGATGGGAAACATTAACAAACGGCAGATGTGACCAAACAAAGAAATAAACTTGAGGATCAAAATGATTCGGTCCTTATGTCCCCGACAGCCTGGGGCCGACGAATAACTGTCTGCTCATGCACAGTATTCGATTAATCGCGATAGCTTCAGCGAACGGAAGAAATAGCGGATTAGAGTGTAGCAGCAAAATTTTGAACGCAGTATTGAGCTGGATCCGGTGACCAGTAGTCAAGAGGTGTTTAGCTATCGAGGATGCCGGTGGCTTACACAACGGTAGGGCTGTTGGTCTATCTCACGCAGGATCCACTTCGGTACATGTTCTCTCATCCGGGAAGACAATGCCCTATCGGTTCTGTCAGTGTAACTGACTCCGCAGTTACATGGGAAATGGTATACACAATGAGAACTGGCGCCGATTGGTAGAGCTTCTTTCGGATAGTTCGGTTGATGATGATGGCTTGAGCCACATAGTTGATCCTATGCGCAAAAACGATCAGGCGCTTCAAGTGTATTAAATATAAACTTTCTTCGTGGCTCATTTCTGTACCAAATCCTTTAGTCTTCTTGGTTGACTGGGCTACTCTATAAAGGTTCGAGGGTAATCTTTTGACATCCGCGTGGTTGAAAATCGTTCCAAATCACCGGTTAGACAGTCTGCCGAGTATATTCGTCTGACATGACTAAGGTCTTCGCAAGTGTCCGTTTGTACCGCATTGGTGCAAAGCTAGTAAAGCGCAGGCTTTAGTGGGACCATGTAGCCTGTCGGTAGACAGATGTCCTAAACGGCCAGTCCTCTCTGCGACTGATAGGAAGATCCAAGAATGACGGACAATTTTCTCGTTCTAGCTCGCAAATGACCCGCAAATTAGTATGTGCAATGTTGAAGCTCCCAACCAACTAGGCGATCTGCTGTTCTGATGGAATAAAAGCCAAAATGTTAGCAACATAGCGCTTGTAGTATAGTAGCTAGTCTATCTCTTTGGACATTCTTTATTCGACCATGAGCCCAAAGAACTTTGCTAGTAAGTGGTCCAGTGTGCAGCACATTGCAACCCCGTCGAACTGGCGGTAAGGCGTGTTTTAAAGTGAAAAGCGACATTCTCTGTGCACAGCAGCAGGGGTAACGCAGCCGGAATTGGCTATGAATAGCGAGGATGCTCTGCTGGTTCGTACGCATAATCCCCAGTCTTATGAAGGACGTTAGTAAAAAGAGATTCCACATTTAGGGAACACAAAATCTTGTATGACAGATTGAGTATACATGGTCCATGATTAGTTAAAATGAATCCTTAAAACTGTACGAGTTGGTCAGTCGTCTTATCGGAGAATGTCAAGAATTTGAAGGTATTTTCGATCTGCAACCGGGCAGCTTTTGGAAGCTCTAATAATTCTACAGTTAAGCTATACCTTGTTGACTAAAGTAAGACAAACCACAAGGATGCCACTCGCTACGACTGAGAGGAATGGTTGCCTTCATAGACCCTAGGTTTTCCACAGATGTACGAACATACGGTGAGTAAGTAAGAAGTTTTCTGAACCCGTTATAATCACTGTTGTCCATTATCATCCATTCACAAAAACGCAAGCAGCTTCGCAGATTCAAGCAGAGGGCTTTCAAAAGCAGCTACCGTGTTTTAGTGAAACTTCTTTCTGTCTGTATTAAGGAAGAAGTGTATTACCTCAATCATGTTTATGACCAGACAATTCTGGAAAACAACAGTTGCCGTGAGATTTGGCGGATGACGGAACAACTCAACGGAATCACCGTCATGAAACAAATGCTGCTGTGGTGTTAGAAGAAGTAAACGAAACTCCTGCTGCACCAGTAGTGATTCATTCTCCGATTCATTATCTGCACCGTTTCAGTGTCACTGTTGCATCACTGCATAAGAAGCTAATCCAACTGGACGCAGGCAAGGCATGAGGACTTGACAGGTTGTCACGTGTCGTCCTTAAAGTATCGCGCGGATTCTTTAGACCGGTCGCTGGCTGAATTGCACATAATGTGCCAAAATCAAGGGAAAATCGCGGATTTTTGGAGGACTACAAGCATAATGTCAGTATCAACAAATGAGACGGGTGAATATCGGTGTATCGCATGCACATTGGTGGTTTTGACGGTTTTTGAGAAAATTATTCCTGAAAAAATACTGGCTCAATCTGGTTTAGATGGCTCATGCCAGCTTGGTTATAGAAGTGCGAGGTCCGCACAAAAGGCAGTGGCTTATCTAGTGCATTCAGTGTTGTCGTCGCTAGAAAGTAAGAACAAATCCACACGTGTCTGCTTCCTCGAATACTGTAACCCTTCCGGCTGTGTTGACCGTGAACTGCTGTTGCAAGATCTAAACTTCTGGCATTCAAACTTCCCTATTCTTCGTGCTAAATGATTGTTTCGTTAAGCACAGTCAGGTCACCAGATATGGCAGCAAAAGCTCCTCCTTACTAAGCATGATTTCTGGTGTCCTTCAAGGAGCTATTTTGTCTCCACTCTTGTCCTCTACCTACGTTAGCTCCATGCCTGTTCAAGAAGAATCCTTTTTGCTAAACTATGCTGATGACGTAATCATCGGCGTAGATCATCCAACCTCGGCTTCTTCTACCCGACTACAAAGTGGGGGGGACGAACTAGCGTTTGGTGTTGGACCCATCCAAGTGTGACGACATACTGCTTCCATACGATGAAGCAGCGCCTTACCCGGAACTTGTCATGGACTATCCCAAACTTTATATCGACAGCGAAATATTGAACCTATCTACGTCCGTGAAGGGTCTTGGAGTCACATTGAGCCACAATTCATCGTGGTCACTCCACGTGAGTGAAATATTCACCAGTCAGGCGACTTTGGTTTCACAACGCTTGGTTAGAATCATCCTTTCATATAAGTCGATTATGAAGTTCACCAATGCGTGTAATCTGTCACACCGAACTTAACGCTCTCCTGTTTTTCCCAGGTCTACTGTGCAAGCATTTCAAGTTGTTTGACAGGTCGCTGAAGCAATTGTCTCGCTGGAGTGGCATTCCAAAGCGAACATTGCCTCAAACAATTGTATCTACGCAGGTTAATTCATGCACTAAACTTGCTTCCAAAATACTCACCGACATTAGCGACCCTCTTCAGCGTGCATCCTCCAACTGTATATCAACCTCTTCGACCCGATAAAAGTACAGGGCAATATATTCCCGCACGAGGGCATATGGTTCGTCAGTCATTCACTATCTAGCCAGATTTCTATTTGACCAAAACGCTATTATTTAAGAACTCCCTGGTAAATTTTGCTAGTGTAGTTATGTCTTACATTTGGTTTTTCTTTTTATCGTTGTTCTGCCGCTATTGAATTACTGTTTATCATGCCGATAGGGTGTGTGTTACGACTGGAAACACACCCGCAATGGGTGCGTAAAAGGGCATCCCTGACTTAGCTTGAACATTTTTCGATTTTTAGGGAAAGATTAATCTCCAAGAATCGCACTTCCGAAAACATGTGTAAGAGCTAAGCGATTTCAGATACAAGTGAGCAACATCTGATTGCAGGCCACATATTACAAATCCTAAAAAGGATTCATATTTCATAAATCTTATGTCACTTACCCAAGACATGGTTATCGCACAAGGCTCGCGCTCGCATATCACACAAGCGAATGGCGCCACGACTGGTTGAATAGGCAAATAAGTGACATTGAGAAGGATGAAAGCGTGCACACGTAATCACTTCAGATAGATCTTCCAAATCCGAAGGTTTTGTATCCACGATATCTGAAGAAAAAGAACAGAGTTACAAGAAATAGGTAGACTGCAAAACAGAAGAAAAGGTGAACAGTAAATAGAACAGGTATGTATAGTAAAAAGAGCTGAGCGAATAATGCCCGCGCATACAATGAATCATTATCGTTATCATATATAACAATCCCAGTGTTCCGCTATCGTAAACAGTTAACATAGTCGTACGCGGGTTGGTATACTGCCAACATGTTCAAATCTGGGTAGGCGGATAACTAAGGTCATTAATCGAAGCTTTCAGCTTGAATACCTAAGTCCAGGGAAGTGGAGGCTTAGAACAGTATAAAGTTCAGTTGCTTACCACAGAACACATTCTCTCGGTTATCTTTCATCCGTTATGACCCCGAAGTTGCCCTGAATAACAATGGTGCTCGGCAGAGATTAAGAAAATCGAGGCTCAACAAGGTCCGTGGTCCCGAAGCTTCGTCACCGGTCTTTCTGAAAATGCGCGCCGATTCACCCACGCAACCTCTCATCAACACCTGTAACCAATGTCCGTGTGCAAAAACAGTCTCAAAAGCATTGTCCAATTTCGAGAAAGTACTCGTCCCTAGGATTTTTACAAACGCAGACTTAGACGACGTCTAGTAGGTTGACTGCAAACCTCAGCATTCGATAATGAATGTAATATTTTAGTGTCCGCCGAATCATATGCAGGCAGACAAAGCCACTAATCTACCAACCGTATTCAATTCACCCTGCTAAAGAGGAAGATACGCTAAGTTCCCGGTCGACAGCGACGTTTTACAGGAGCCATCCTCTCTTCTTGTCACTATTTACTGCATAAGGTCTTTTGTTATCCGCACTCCTTGGTCGTAAACAAACTGACGACGCTGACTTTTATAGTCTTAGTCCCGGTGCTGAGATGTCCTCCGCTCATCAACAAGATAAGCTGGGAGGTGAACGTCGTCCCGATCCCCTACACTCAACATCCCAAATGATGTGACGTAATACTCTTATTCTTCCTCACACCAATAGTCTGCAAGCTGCTTTAAATGCTTCCCTACCTCCGTAGGTGACTAAACAATTCATAAGCACTTTATCCAAAATTATGTAGCTAGGTATCATTTCATTACTTGTGTGAGTGGACTGCGATGTACAAGTGCACTATCGGCTGTGATCCAAATTGGACTGAGCCGTTGTTAACTAGTTCACTTGGACAATTTCTAAGGCAGATTAAGGTTGGGTGTTGGCAGCTCGCAGCATTGCATTCTACGACCGGTTTTGTAATAGTGTAAACACATCACGTACAGATAGCAAGATTGTGACTCCAATCCTGGACGTACAGGCTGTTTGACTCCTAAGTCACTTAGCAATGGGCGAAGGCTTCAGATAACCATCCCTACATAGTGGATTCAAGCCGTAGCCCCGATATCCTCTGCCTGATGTTCGTAGAATGCACTGTACCGAGCTGCTAACTTGTAACACTTGTCTGCTTCCGATATGTTTCAAGTCAACGAACTGACAGGCCTTCAATCCAAATTGGATCGCGGACCAGACTGAGATTGTGCGTCAGAGTCCACTCACATAAATGCTTTAGAATCGCCCCTCAATAAGATCACTATTCATTCCCTCAGACTCCAAATGTTTTCAAGGACCCCAGGTCTTCAAATAAGCCGTTGTTGTTTTATTGGGCTGTTCTCGGAAGTTTGTTTATCTGAACCATTCTAAGGTCATCAATGATATCCTACTCGGCCGAATTTATGAAAATGTTTGGAAGCGCCGCACGAAGCACACCTTATGCCGAATGCGGTAAAAATAGAAACACCACCGAGCGGATTTGTAAAAAACATTTTGGTAAAATGAGAAAACATCGCGCGAGTTGGCAAGTTGGCCTCAGACAGAGAACAAATCCCGCGGATTCTCTCCAGAAATGTGTGCTCTCTCCTCAGTAAAATCGCTGACCTTACTGTCACTATGGTGCGTAAGGAATTTGCAAATACAGGTGTCGTGATGCTTCAAGCAAGTTGGCTCCATCCTGACGTAGAGGACGAGGTTATCCAACTTCGTGACTACCGTGTCATAAGAATAGACTGACTTGGAAAGCCGCATAATCGTGAAGGAGGTATCATCAATTACATCAACGAACTTCGGTGGCCTTGTAGTTTACATACTCAACATCGAAGGTTAGCTGCCATTTAATTGAAGGTAAACCAAAGTTTTTAAACGGATTTTATTCTGCAAATATTGGAAATGCCTATATAGCTTCTGACGTATTACTGACTGTTTTGAAGAAGTTTGCCGATTATTTTTAACCAGCGTTACCGCCCAAAATGGAGAGCTCCCTCTGTAGCGTTGTTGGTGATTGCAACAAGAGTGATGCATCATTCATCAGATCTCTCGGTCTAACAAATATGGTAAACTTCGAAACCAGAGTGAACGCACAGTTAGATTGTCTTCACAAATAAAACAGTCATATTCTACAATGAAAAGGCCTCTTCTCGGCAAACTCAAATCACTGCATTCTGAAGGTATGTTCGATCAGATACTGCAAGAGCAAGTTTGTCTCTTTGACAAAGAAGCCATTCAAAACCGTCAGACGGAGAGACTGCTCGAGAGAAAACATTGCGAAACTCCAAGCGACGTTGGCTTAGACTGACTTTTCAGTCTTCAAAAACGAAAATCTAGCTTTAGAGTGTGACCACTTGACCGAAAACATTAAATTCTACTTCAATTTGTACCGTCCCGTTGAGACCATCTACCTACGGATGGATAGATTTTCTTTGAAGTTAATGAAGAAAGAACAAGACCATAAATAAAAAATTAGTGCACAAGTAAAAAGACTCTCCATGGTAATCAAATCCGAGAGAAAATGGTCGAACCGAATACACATTAAGACACTCCGGTGCTCTCACGATTGTCACGAGCTCTGGAGACTTTGGAAACACCCATGTGGCCAACGTTCCCATAAGCGCATTGAAATCGTGGATGTCCACAAACTCAACGTTGATCTCGTTATTCCTAATAGGGTATTAATTCTTTGCCCCACTTCGCCAACCCTGTTCAAGAAGTCAACAGTAAAAGGTTTAATGTTTGAAGTGTACTAAACACATGGAAGGTAACTAAGGCTACTGAACAAGATGCATTATCACCAGTTGTACTAAAACACCTTGCAGACTATCTTGCGGAAAAATTGACAGCAATTTTCCGCCGACGGCGTATGGAACGCACCATCCCTAACATTTAGTGACCAGTTAGAATAGCATCTGTTCCAAAGAAGGGTTCTCAAAAGTATCATAAAATAGCATCCATATCGGTGATGTTGACGGTCTTCGAGAAACTGCTTGCTCCTCAGAATTTCACACGTACCAACACAAAAGCTAATTGGTTGGCGGCATCCAGGGTTCGGATTTGCTTGTCACTGTGGCCAGCCACAGGACGCCTGCGCCTACAGAGGGACCATGCGTGGCTTGCGCTGCACCATCACAGTTCCATAACCATACCCCACATGCGGTGTAAACCGGAAGGAATAAGACCGGGAGCCACGTATATGAAAGCCACCTTTCATCAATGGAGCCGACCCACACTCCTTCACAGGCAAACACAAGTACCCTGTATTTGGCGATTGAACGCACACAACGCGGTGGCTAGAACGTATTCCGCTGCACACTGAGGGCATGGAACCACTCCTTCATATAAAAACGACCACAAGGACCGTGTACTCCGTAAAGTCCAGCCACGACCAACTGCCTCCAGGAGCCAGTATAGACGAGGTAGTGGCTAATAGACAGGTAGGCACCTTGTCAGCATGCATATCAAGCGCAGCCACACCGGGGATACCAAGCAACAGAAGAGCAATTGAAACGACAGCATGAACAAAAATAAATCGGACATCGCACACAGATACGCAGACACAAATCTTCCATAAACCGGCGTATAAAATAACATAGATACGCACGAAACCCGATAAGTTCAAGACGTCAGACAAAACACGACAAAAATGCCACAAAAAAAGAAAACTTACAGGAAGCTTAGCAGAAATAGCATCATCGATGTGTGCAAGTTTATAGAAGAGAGTACAGGTAGACATTTATAAGGGAAAGGAAAGCATTTGGACAAAAGTGAAATCCACCACCTGAAATAAATAGACTTAGCATGCAAGCACGCGGTTAGTAAATCGAATGCAGCGTGCCTACAAACGCTGCGCCGTTTCTGCCTACGTTCTCTGCAGGACCCGTCGTCGCTTTGGTAGTGGTCTCGAGTGGTCTGGCTCATGGCTCACTAAGCCTACCTGACTCAGGGACTCGCGACCGTATGTGCTACAGCACCATGCACTCGATGTCGATGGAGTATAACCCATAGGTGCTTGCTGCTTCCGCACTTGCCGCTTCTTCCTTGCATGTATGAGGTCTTTCTCCCGCACTCCGGCAACTGCCTTCGTGATTAGATCGCGCCATGCACGCCGATCAACCGCCTTCGAATCGCATAACTTGCAATCAAGATTAGAGCGTGAGAGGCTCAATTTGATCATGTCCTGATAACGTAACTTTGGTTTCCCCACATGTCGCTTCCCAATACTCAGCTGACCATATAATAGCTGCTTCGGTATCCGCGTCGAATCCATACGGCTCACATGACCGAGCCACCTCAGATGTCTCAGCAAAAGTATGCAGTCCACTGCATACATTCCACTTCGGCGCAACACTTCCGTGTCCGCAACTCTGTCGCGCCAACCGATGCGCAAAATTCGTCGCAAACACTGCTGATGGAACGGCTTGAGATATCGCACATCCCGCCGGTACATCGTCCACGTTTCACTGCCTTATAGGAGAACGGACAGCACCATGGATTTGTACACCATCAGCTTCGTGCCAATGGTAAGCTGATGGTTGTTCCACACTCGGTACTCTAGCTTCCCGAATGCCGCCGCTGCCTTCGACACGCGGATACGCAGCTCACTGTGTATCTGCCGATCAGTCGACATCACACTCCCAAGGTAGCAAAAGCGGGAGGTGGTTTCCAATACTTCAGCACCA